TGTTTATAAAAATTAACGCATTCCATAGATATTAAGAGCTAAAGTTTCATATTCAAAACTCACACACTTTGAATCGATTGCGCGGGCTAAAGATAAGTTTTAAATTAATCTATCGTGGCCAATAACAATTGGCTTAGACCTAAGACAACATAATATTACTATTATCAAATGCCTTTTATTTTCCCCCATACAAAATCGACCCAGCCTAATATACATATCGCACACCGTCTTCAAAAGAGTCACAACTCAAAATAATACGTTTATCAGAAAATGCGAAAAACTACCCTGACGGAAACAAGTGATTTTTTTCAAATCAACTAATTGAAAGACTACTTTAAAACAAATGCAATGAGTAAATGTTTCGAAGTTTGATACTCTCTTTACTCCAAAAAACAATTTGAGTCTTGGAAGTATGAAAAAGCCTCTGTGAAGTGCAGAACGCAAGCAAATTCAAAAGATACATACTGACTTTGAAGTGTGTAAACCAAATTCATTTTAAAGTAGTTGAAATTAAACGCAGAATAGGACAGTCGACTTGCTGCTTGCACATAATTCAAACTGAATATTTGAAAGCACATTTACGTGTCTGGCTGTAGCTGAGCGTTCAGAGATGCTTGATGTTACTTGTTAGCTTCCAGAACGTCCGGGTTCGAGTCCCAACAGAGGCAGCATGTGAAAATGATAATTTTTTTTGTCTTTTAAATATGAAAACGCATTTGTGAAGTTAATTAATTAATTAAGCGTATTCAAACGAAACATACTGACTTTGAAGTTGTTTAAGCCAAATGCATTTTAAAGTAGTTGAAAATACATGCAAGAAAAGGCAATTGCTTCCTAGGACATCGCCATGTTAAATAAATGAGTTCGTTGCAGGTAAAATAGTGAGAATTTCAATTAGTTATCATTGAAAATAAAGTAGTTTATAAATTACTTTCAAACTAATTAAATTTCCTGCAGGGTATTTCTTAGCACATGATAATCATATGGGCAAGGGCGACTTTACCTTGGTTTTTTTTTAACAAATTATAACAATAATTTGCTCCAGCTTTTGCTGAAAGGTAAATAAAAGCTCTGCGTACATTTTTGGCGCATAATCTCAAAAATGCCAAATTTGAAGTTTTGACTCTTGTGAAGACGGTGTGTAATATATACAAGAATTGCTCGATTAATGTAATAAGATAAGTCTGTACGTTTATTGCTGAAAATGTGTATCATTTGATAAAGAAGCTAAACTTTATGTGAAATGTCTTTTTATCGGCGATATCTATATCTTTTGAAATGAAACCAAAGTTGGAAAATGTTATTGTGAAACTGGCAACGAAAGCCCCGTTTATAGCTGAATTCCCATTCTCGATGTACTATTTTAAAGGCAATATCCTCATATGGTGGCCCTGCATGAAACCGTAGCACAGCAAAATCTGGATTATCGTCGCATTGACTCTGAAAAGAAAAAAAGAGAATCAATTTTACAAAACATGTATTTTAATTGTTAAGTTAGATTAAAAATCTATACTGCATAGTATATTACATAGTATAGTATGTAATGGGTGATTTTTTTGAGGTTAGGATTTTCATGCATTAGTA